ATTATCTATATACTTGAAGCGTGCCGTGAGTTCAAGAACTGAACACTATAAATATCAAATAACAAACTGTTTACCTTTTAGTTTTTATTTGCAACAGACAACACATAATTTTTTTTTAATCCTTTTGCACAATTAATTGTTGTAGCTATGGTTTTAGTTGATTTTTTCCGCGAAATTTCGCATGTTTTCAATTAATTAATTTTCGTGAAAAAATGCAAAATTCCGCTAAAAAGTTTGTGAAATACGAGCAAAAATTATCGCATTTCTTCGCGAAAGTTTTTGCTCACTTGAAACCCTTATCACGATCACATTTTTGTTTCGGATTGATCTTGTTTTACTTTAGTCTCTACTTCTTCTATTATGTATGACTGACTTCTGGAATTACATTTCCTGTCCCTATTCACAAAATTAGTCTCCCTAGGGACATATTTATGTTAAATTCGGAATTTATATACTTTTCTGTTAATTTCGGAGTTTATATATTTTTATGATAACTTTGGAGTTTAGATACTTTTATGTTAACTTTGGAGTTTAGATATTTGTCTGATAACTTTGGAGCTTAGATACTTTTATGTTAACTTTGGAGTTTATATATTTTTATGATAACTTTGGAGTTTAGAAACTTTTATGTTAATTTTGGAGTTAAAACTTTCATGTTAGCTTAGGGAATATGTATTTTAGAATTCAAAAGTCGAATTTTCTTAACTTCAAATTAGACTTTTTCTCGACTTTATAAGTCGACTTTTTGCAGAGTTGAAAAACTCGTTCATAAGTGATATTAAAACTCACCCAAAAGTGTTTTAAAATCTCAGGTTTAAGTTAAGTTTTGGTAGGATTATATACGAGTTAAAGTCGAGTAAAAATTGACTTTTGTTCGTTGGGTTGCTTAATACTTTTAAGTTAACTTTGGAGTTAAGATACTTAAATGTTAACTTCTGGGTTTGGATAACTTTATTTTAACTTTGAGGTTTAGAAAATTTTATGTTGACTTCCGAGTTTAGGTACTTTTTAGGTTTAAGTTTAGATGCCTTCATGTAATTTCATAATTTATGTAAACTTTATATTTTTATTACATTTACAAAACTTGTGAATTCTAAGCTATAAAAAAGAAGATTGTATATATATTTTCTATAACTTTTGCATTAAATATTTAAAGTTGATTTTGTATTTTTATATGTTTGTGTAAACTTTGGAGTTTTGACAATTCATTCTAAATTGGATTTAAGATATGTTTCTGTATCTAGACCCCACCAACCTTTGAGAACTAATTGATTTTAAACTCAAAAAAAAATCCTTAAACAAAAACTAAAATTAGAACTTTCAGACATTATGAACTAATTTGAAAAATCTAAATTTTAAACTTTTGTATTTCCAAATTGAATCTGTTATTTGATGTGTTTGCTCCCGAAGTTTACATGACGTGCTCGCTTCCCTATTGCTCTGTGATTGCCCCTTGGGACTAAAGGTTGAGATTGGACTCATGCTAAATAGATAGATAGATAGATAGATAGATAGATAGATAAATAGATGGGTAGATAGATGGATAGATAAATGGATAGATAGATGGATAAATATATGGATAGATAAATGTGTAGATAGATGGAAAGATAGATTGATAGATAGATGACTTGTTAGATGGATGGATTGATATAAGGATAGATGGATAGATAGATAGATAGATAGAGAGATAGATTAATGGATAGATATATAGATAGATGGATAGATTGTGTTGAAGTGATGTGGTCGAAGATTGATTTGTGTAAAGGTTTGAATTAGCATCAAGATTTGAATCTTTTCGAAGTTTGTTTTTGTCGAGGTAAGATGTGTGTCGAGGTTTGGATTGATGTCAAGGTTTTAATTGTGTCGAGGTTTTAATTGTGTCGAAGTTTGAATTGTGTCGAAGTTTAATTTGTGTCGAGGTTTGAATTGTGTCAAGGTTTTATTTGTGTCAAGGTTTTATTTGTGTCGAGGTTTTATTTGTGTCGAGGTTTTATTTGTGTCGAGGTTTTAATTGTGTCGAAGTTTGAATTGTGTCGAAGTTTAATTTGTGTCGAAGTTTTATTTGTGTCGAGTTATGAATTGTGTCGAAGTTTGAGTTTTGTCAAGGTTTGGTTTGTGTCTGGGTTTGAATAGCATCATGGGTCGATTATTTGCTCAATTAAATTAACGTACAGGAAATAGATAGGTTTAAAGGATAACAATGAATTCATGTTAAACGTTTGTTTGCATGTTTACAAGAAAGAGCATGTTAGCAGTTTTTAAAAGAGGGTACACTACTTCTCTTAGAATCCACCATATATATACTAAAGTTGGTTTTCATCAAATAGATTATCAAGTGCAATAGGTGGCAACAGAGAAATTGATCAATTACATACGACGTCATAAGTGTCAAATATAACAAAAAACGAAATTTTCTCACATTAGCTGACATGTTTTTCAAGATTAAATAAAAAAGTGTAAAAGCAGAAAATAAAGAATACATAATTATTATACTGTTTTATTTTACTGTTAGATAACCACTAAAATTATCACTATTATTTACACAAAAACTAAATTGACAATTGTGACGTCAGAATACAGCTGTACTGAGAGTGCACAAATTCTACATTGCCATCTATTGTACTAGAATCTATTTACTATGTTTCTGTAAGTAGATCTGGGTTTACTATGTTTCTGTAAGTAGATCTGGGTTTACTTTGTTTCTGTAAGTAGATCTGGGTTTACTTTGTTTCTGTAAGTAGATCTGGGTTTTCAAACATGAGTCGCACACTGTGATCCAAACATGTAACGCTCTCACCAACAAATATATGAGAATTTCGCAAATTACTTCTTAAAGTTAAAACTAATAATTATTGCTTTATAACTCTCAAATGTACATGTCTGGGGCTACAAAAAAGTGAAAGCTCGTTAGTGAGGTGAAATCAAAAGCCAAGACGTTGAAACACTTCAAAGTCGAATCAGCGTGGAAAATCGAAAAAATGTGAACAGAACCCACAGAGTTTGGTCACTTATTTCGTTCTCGTTAACATTTTACAACTTCAGGTTTTATTTTTAAAGAAGTAATTGGCAAAACTCTTATCCAAACATGAACACTGGATAAAAAGTGCTGAATTACTGTAACCTTTAGATATTGTTCTTTTTCTAATCTACATTTAGTTAAATTGGATCCGGCAAATAAAGATGGAAGAATAATGAGAATTATTCTCCTCACAGCCTAGGAAAAGAAGAATTTCAATATTCTAGGAGCGTGAAGCGATAAATTTCAATTTCAAATTATCCGTCATTCATCTTCTCGATTAAATAGTTTCTTGAGAGCTTTACAATACTCCTTCACTAGCTCTTCTTTTCAATACTCCCTGACAGGTGGTATCCTTAGCTCTTCTTTTCAATACTCCCTGCCAGGTGGTATTCTTAATTCTTCTATTCAATACTTCCTGCCAGGTGATTTTCTTTGTTGTTCTTTTCAATACTCCCTGTCACGTGGTATTCTTAGCTCTTATTTTCATACTCCATGGTATCATTAGCTCCTCTATTCAATACTCGTTGCAATGTGGTATTCTTAGCTCTTATTTTCATACTCCTTGGTAACATTAGCTCTTCTATTCAATACTCCCTGTCAGGTTATTTTCTAAGCTCTTCTTTTTAATGTTCTATTTTATTTTGATGGATCCTACAAGTACATAAGCCTAGTGATGTATGATAGTTAGTTAGTGGATTGGTAGGTAGTTAGGTAGGTAGGTAGGTAGGTAGGAAGGTAGGTAAGTAGGTAGGAAGGTAGGTAGGTAGGTAGGTAGACAGGTAGGAAAGCCTATGCTTTATTATGACTAGTTGGTGGATTGGTAGGTAGGTAGGTAGGTAGGTTGGTAGGTAGGTAGGTAAGTAGGTAGGTAGGTAGGTAGGTAGGTAGGTAGGTAGGTAGGTAGGTAGGTAGGTAGGTAGGTAGGTAGGTAGGTAGGTAGGTAGGTAGGTAGGTAGGTAGGTAGGTAGGTAGGTAGGTAGGTAGGTAGGTAGGTAGGTAGGTAGNGGTCTACATAACAATTTCTGAGATTGCCTCATTTACTGCTGGTATGTAAACCTGGACAGACATGCAGGATGGATTTTGTACTCAACATTAAAGGGAATAAGCACTAAAATAAATCAATATATTTGTTAGGATTCAGTTTTTCCTCCGTTCTTTTAGATTAAAGAAGAGCAAATATTCTGTACAGAGAACTAAACCATTAAAAAGATTATTTATGTCACAGATCTAAGATTCTACCCAAGAGAAGGTGAAGAAGAGGGAGGGGGGAATATAGAAACATCATGAATAGGAAATGAAGAAAAATAGAGATAATAAAATTAAAGTTATGACAAGGTGGAAAATAAAGTTACAGTTTGAAAATATATTTATGTTTTACGAGTAGGAGTAGGAGTAGGAGTATGAGTAGTAGTAGGAGTAGGAGTAAGAGTAGGAGTAGGAGTAGGAGTAGGAGTAGGAGTAGGAGTAGACTGATATCGGGTTTCAACATATTTTAAAAAAATTCCTTTTTAAAATTTTGTAGCGTCGAAATCAACGCATTCGACGGGGTCTGCGTAAAATCTACGCTATCTGGTCTAGTCGGGTTTGACTATGTCCTAGAACCTCTATGTTAACTAATGGCCATCTTTATGCACTTGCACTAGCTTATTCTCCATGGCCAGTCTTGACACAAATCCTTTATACTAACAATGACTTTTCTTGCTCAGATTCTTGTTTAAATTCATTCAAAGTATTAGACAAAGGTTTTCAATCAAAGGTCATAATTAGTCAATATATCTAATTCAGGAGTGTGCTTAAAAACAACAACATATATTCAACAAATTTTACAATATTTTGAACAATAAATTTGTCTAAAAATTGTTGTTATTATTTTAATGATTTTTAACACATTGTTTGCAGTGAGTTTAATACTTTTGCCCTCTATTTACATTTCTGTTGAAATACATTGCCCATAAGAAAAATTCTATATTTCTCTTATTAGATGTGGTTTGCATTACCATGGAGCGTGCTACAATATTGAACAAGAATGTGTTATTGGTAGTACAGTTGCTGATGGTAAGATTACAAATTTACAAACGTACTTATCAGACCTAAGGTCATGGGCCTGCTATCTTATGTGAAATCTGTTCTTGTTCAGATCCTTTCGTATGTGGACCCTGCAGTGTAGAGAATAATATTCCATGTTCTTCTAACTCAGTAAAATGTTTCTATGAAAAGAAGAATCTGTGTGCTTCTGATGAGGATTGTGCCAGCTTTAAACTTCAGGCTTTGATTGCTCGTGTCATACGGTCCCTGAGGAAAAATGAGTTTTTAAACTTGCAAATGTTGAAGTCTTCTGATGTTATCAACTTCTTAAATTCTGAGTTTGGATTTGGTGAACAAGAAGCTTGGAATATGATAAAGAAAATGATGTGCTTGAATATGTTTTCTCTGTCTCAGGAAAAAGAAAGGGGGTATAGGCTTAATGCGATAAAAAAGCCCTTTTGATCGCTGCTTATTTTACTTCTATCTGTTGCGTCAATAAGGAAAAAATTGTTAAAGACGTCTCATACCGAATAACTTAGCAGCCATACAAATTGAGAAAATTGCAACATACGACTTAGACCGTAAAAAATCAATTTGATTTCAAACAAATTATTTAGATATTACAACCTATAGTCATTGATTATCTTTCGCCACATTTGTATATAATTTAACAATTTTCTCCTTATAGACGCAACAAATAGAAGTAAAATTAGTAGCGATCAAAAACGCATTTTTATCGCATTAAGCCTACACCCCCTTTCATTTTTTGCGAACACTCCCTTTAAAACTGAAACCCATATGATTTTGAAAGTATTTTGAACAGGTACACCTGGGTTGGAATCTATGTGCTCTAGTGTTCTCTTTCATATTTTACAGGTGTGTTACACAATCCCTGCCAATAAGCAAAATATTAAATTTAATATTTCAGTACCTGAATGTTAGTACCAGGAAGAAATTGAGAGAGGTGTCTTTGACTTTGAAGAATAGAATTGAAGGTTAATTACTGGAAATTATCATATATTCGTACTTATGATGATGACGATGGAACAAATCTACTAAAAAAGTTTTCTGATGCAGTAGAAACTGTTCTAGGTAAATTACCCACTTCTATTTTTTGTTTAAGGAGTAGGAGAGTAGGAGTAGGAGTAGGAGAGTAGGAATAGGAATAGGAGAGTCGGAATAAGAAAAGGAATATTTTTGTTCATGTTCTCAATATCTGCCCGAATTGAAGACATATATTTTCTTTTCAAGTATATTGACATATTTGGTCAGTATACCATACCCCCAACTACACCCCAAAATATTAGTATTTCGACCCTTTATATGAATGCGCGCCCTCTGGTTTATCTTTGAATCCCTCGGGGGTTTAAATTTCCATTTTTTTGACACATTCGGTGTCTTGTTCCAAATCCCGTTTTTTTTCCTAATGGATATTTTTAAAATTTGATTTTTTAACAGTATTTACCAACTCCTTATTTCTTTCCTTCTTTATAATTCAAATCCACTTTAATTATAATAATTTCAATTCAATCATTTAATTTCAATTTAAAGAAGTTTTTTGTCAAAAAGAAAATATTTCTGCTTAGGGTTGAGCGTCCATTGTCAATATTAGACCCCCCTTCTT